ACTTTGATGATAGCGGTAGCAACAGTGACGAATCTGAGGTTGAAGATTAGACGAAAATTTGTACATTTACATTTATATTATATTCTATTATCAAAAATTTGTAATTTGTATTTTCTAGTACCCCTGACGATGAGTTTGAGTTACTCGAAAGCTTGAGAATAGTTATAAAGAGTTCACTTATCAATTGCTGCAACCCAATAGTGAAAAAAAGTTATATATATATTGTGTTTTTTATTAATATTGTTAATTTATTTGGTACCTACTATAATTACCACGATTATTACTCCGTTTTCATAAGGCCCACCTAATGACTACAACGATTAGGTAAATTACGATATTGCAAAGTTTTAATGAAATAAATAAAAAATGTGTATGAATATTTTAACTAATTGTACTAAGAATTTTTCTTTCATTCTTAACCCTCTCAAAAATTAATAAGCACGCCCCCGATTTGCTGTCAACTGGGCTTACTTCTACTCTCAATCATTACTGGTGCCTGTGCGAAAGTAGCGATTTACGTTGGCTTTGAATCGCTGCAGGTTAAATTCATTTGGAAAAACGTTCTTAGGAAGTTTATTCCACATTAACGCAGTTCTCTAAAGGTGAAAGTTCTTAAACAGTGGAGTTCGAGGTATACTGAGTTGAACCTCAAAACTATGAGCAGTCACACTCCGTCGCGTATTTCTGATATGTACCGCTCTTGGTGGAATCAAATGTGCCAAGTCTCTTGAACACCTCTCGTGAAAGTATATATAAAAGAGAAACAAATCTCCAACCTTTTTTTGATGCTTCAGATTATCAAGGTTGCAAGTGATGTTCGTGTCTTCAATAAGGCGAATGGCTCATTTCTGACTGGAATCCAGCAACTTCAGGGTATACTTAGAGGCGGAACTCCATGTGAACAATACTCCCAAGTAGGTCTGATCTAAGCTTTACAAATCATCAAAAGATGCTGGGGATTGTACAGTTTTCTGGTTTGAAACAGTTTTCCAAACTTTTGCAAAGAAACCTTTGCAATTCGAAGCAGAAAGCGGAATTGTCTGTCCTGGCATTATTATTCCTGGGTTTTCGTGGCATTGAATTGAATCTGGTTACTTTTACCCCACTTCGAAATCACCTTTAGGTCCTCATTAATAAATGGAATCTCCTGTTGCCAGATGATAGGGAGTACTATAGTTTACATGAAAACTGAAGTTGAATACAAAATCCTCTGAAAAACAGCAATCCTTTGAGCCTTCAGAAGGAAAAAATTACTATCTCAAACATAGTGTCCAAGGCGTCCCGGTCACTATCGAACACCAAAACTATTGTCAAACATCAAAAAATATAAGTTATAAGTTTGACACTTCTGCTCATCAGTTTTTATGATTTGTTTTGTATTTTTTCAGTTACCTAAGAACTATTCTACTTGCTATATTTTTGAACTGTTTTATTCGAAAAACAAAGCTACTATTAGAAATTTCCAAAAACAGTATGCTGAACATGAAAGGTCCTTCAGACTAGGAAAAAATTATTCGACGTTTTCAAACCATTCCTTGGCATGCAACCACAAGTTTCCGAATGTAAACGATACGGAAATTCTCCACTATACAAGGAAGGATTGCAAACTCAATTATTTAGAATCCTTGGAAATTCACAAACATAAACATTGCGGGTGCAACCGTTAAATGATCAAATCGATTTAATTTACTCTTCGGTTTTTAAATTGGCACATCCGCAAATACTGAGCATGCCCTTGGAATTCGAAATATGGTGTAGATAATATTACTTGACATAATTTAAGGATTTATCTCTTAACTAACTGATAACCTACCTTATGTACTTGTTGATTGAGGCTGATTTGAATGTAGTTTTTTTCCGAATCCGTAATAGTTTTGTGAGAACTTGGTCTCTCTACTCCAAAGACGATCCAAGCCAATGTCCACATGAGACTGAAACTTCCAAAGATGTAAAATACCGCCGGCCAACCCCACCTGCTTGAACATATGAACCCGGTGATAGATAACGATAGGATATTTCCACAGATGCAACCTGAAAATGAAATATGTGTCATACTTTCCACTGTTTCTGTTTAATCTGTTTAAAATCTGTTTTTCCGTTAATCATCTGCCGCCCCCATACGAACGACAACCCTCAGAAGTCGAAACTTGTGCGAGCTAAGGACTAACGAGGTCTTACCGTTTAACGTCTGATTCCTAACACGGTTGCAGAATCATTCCACCTTCAACCAGATAAATTCTCTCGAGAAAAATATCTGGTCGAAGCGGGAATCGAACACACGACCTTCCGATCGTGAGTCGGACGCACTACCACCGCGGCCAATTCCACAACTGAAAAGTATATTATTTCAAATGTTCGGCACTCCAGTATTTCGAATTGAAAGTAGAATAATCTAATAGAAACACTTTTTCCGCACACATGAATTACAGACCTTTCTCTAATAAACTTCATTTAAGTCGTGTTAACCAAAGTGTGGGTGTGCCACAGGGTTCAATAATGGGTCCTCTGGTGTTTATACTCTATGTCAGGCATTCCCAACCGGTGGTACGCGGGAACGTATCAGGTAGTACGCTTGAGTGATGTGAGCAACATGCTGTTAATAGGCAAACATGACTCAGCTCACGGGTCGCTAGAAAAACGAAATACAATTTCGTTTACAATTAAAATTATAATTCCTAGGTAATAAAACGATGAAACACTTTAGGAATTTTACCTAGGAATCCCCAGATAGTACAATTGGTAAACGAAGGATGTTTCATTTTTTACTTGTGGGTCTTTAACTTTCACTTGGCATTATTGGGTCGTTGTGGGTGTTGTAATTCCAAATCAAAACACCGTGTTATTTCTTATGGAGGTTCATTCTGGCAATTTTGGATCATGCAACCAATCAGAGCGCTCCAAATTGTCACGTGATCCATACGCATCATCGCGAGTACACTACCCTAGCGGCACCTATGAGTCACTAGCTGAACTATCTATTGGAAGGTGTAGGACGGTACATCTGACAGAGGGGGCTCCGTGGGACGGTAAATGGCGTCAATACGGATCGTAAATGGGGCATCTGTCAAATGTTGACGTAGGACGGTACATCAACTTCTAAAAGAGGGGGACTTCGGGGGCTCCGTGAAGATGAGGGGAGGGCAACGCACGGTGCTGCGATTGGGGGCCCCCTTGGTGTTCCGTATATAGTTTATCGTACATAATTGTTTCCATGTCCTGTTATCAGTAACCACACAAAGATAAGCGCTCGATTCATCGATACAAAAGTATATGGGTATTATATAAATACCCAACATTCGCAGTTACCTTCAATATCTTACGTTGGCACAGAGGCTAAGGACAATGTCTACCGCGCGGACGATCCAGATTCGAATCTCATAACTATAAACTTTTTTTAATTAAAATCACGTGACTGGAACGTGACAAGGGGGCCGAGAGGTGATGCGGAGTCTCAAGGAGACCCCTCTGTCAGAAGACATCATAATACAAGCAATTCTGTAGGAAACTCCCACGGAGCCCCCTCTGTCAGAAGTACCGTCCTATGCCGACATTTGACAGATGCACCGTCCTACGCCTTCTAGTAGATAGATGACGTGCACGATCCTCAATTCCGCAGCCGGTGAACACCAATTTGTTAGCCCTGAAGTTAGCAACACCCCGACGTTTCCCCACCACAGATACCGTCCCATACCCTCATTGACATTTGACAGTTGCACAGATACCGATCCGTATTGACAGACATCATAAAACCGGCAACTACGCACACTGTGTCGCATGATAACACCCATATATCTAGTGTTTACAGTGTCCTTCTTCAACCAATATATAGTTCAGCTAGTGACTCATAGATGACTCTATGAGTTCTATAACTTTTGTTGTTTTCATATACTTTTATATCGATGAATCAAGCGCTTATCTTTGTGTGGTTACTGATAACAGGACATGAAAACAATTCTGTACGATACATTATTCAAATGGATCTCTCAAAATCCTATACGCAAAGCCAGGTAAATTCATACGGAACACCATGGGGGCCCTCAATTGCAGCACCGTGCATTGCCCCCTTATCTTCACGGAGCCCCCTCTGTCAGATGTAGCGTCCTACGCCTTCCAATAGATAGTTCAGCTAGTGACTCATAGGTGACGTGCACGATCCTCAATTCCGCAGCCGGTGAACACCAATTTGTTAGCCCTGAAGTTAGCAACACCCCGACGTTTCCCCACCACAGATACCGTCCCATACCCTCATTGACATTTGACAGTTGCACAGACACCGATCCGTATTGACAGACATCATAAAACCGGCAACTACGCACACTGCGTCGCATGACAACACCCATATATCTAGTGTTTACAGTGTCCTTCTTCAACCAATATATAGTTCAGCTAGTGACTCATAGATGACTCTGTGAGTTCTATAACTTTTGTTGTTTTCATATACTTTTATATCGATGAATCAAGCGCTTATCTTTGTGTGGTTACTGATAACAGGACATGAAAACAATTCTGTACGATAAATCATATACGGAACACCATGGGGGCCTCCAATTGCAGCACCGTGCGTTGCCCCCTCCTCATCTTCACGGAGTCCCCCTCTGTCAGAAGTTGATGTACCGTCCTACGTCGACCTTCCAAATGATTTATTACTCGACCCCCTTGCCTTAAAAAAGGGAGGTGAAGTTTCGGGTATGATTTCCATATCAGAATTAGTCCCCCTAGAAATAAAAATTGACGTGTTCTTTGAATTTTCGATTACACGTCCGTTTCTGATTTACAGGGGGGTTAAGTTTTTGTTGGAACGCCCTATATGTATTTTTCAATGCCGCATTTTAAAAAATAAAAAAAATAACGAAGTAACATAACATTTGTTTGGTGATATGTTGTAATCTACTAGACAGTTTTTCGCGAGGGTGTTGAAAAAACTGATTGTTGAAATTGTTGCTACGAATCATAACACACATATTTAGTTGAACTCACCGGCGTAAGCGAAAGTTCCTAGTACGGATCTTTCTCTAGGGGGTGCCCAGCATCCCAATAAGCTATGGACCAGTGGTGCTACCCCTCCTTGGGCGAGACCTTCTGTGAATCTGCAACCCATCACGCCCACAGACCCTAATCGACTTGCTGCTATTGGAATTAGTAAACAGGATACTGCATCTACTGTTGTGCAGCCCACAAGCATCCACTTGATACCAATTTTTTTACTCAATTGAGCAGCAGGAATTTGTAAAATGACGTATCCCCAGAAAAATGCCGATAAAACTACACTTCGGTTTGTCCATTCGAAGGTCTAGAATTAATAAAAATATTCCCATTAGACTGGAATCGTAAATCATCAAATGGCAAAAACTGGAGAATGTCAAGGAATTATCTTCATCATCTCCATATGAGTCATACTAAAAAAAAATAATTTTTGTCGTTGATTGGCTTTCTTGGTCGAGTTCTCAATCACTTTATTTCAAATCCTGCAATTTCTTCCGATGTGGAATAAACTTTGGAATACTTAAAATAATATCCTGATGAAACTTCGATTGGGAGTGTTTGATACAAGTCTGGTGTGTAGAAATGTTTTTGTTGTTTTGAAAAAAAAATCAATTTGCATCTCCATAACGTAATGCAGAAGCAACGTGAATATAATAATAATAATCGGCTTTATTCATGAAATAATTACAAATTAAACAAAATCGAACGTTCCATTTTGTTTAATTTGTAATTATTGGAAATGGAACATTCGATAAAAGGCGAAATTCAGCTTGAAAAACAGTAATCCGTAGTATGCGCTGGTCAGGCCCTATCCCCGATACATTCGGGAGGGCGTGCCAGCATTATCAACCAACGACCACTCCCCACACCGTGGGGTGCATGATCACTGGATCTGAGAATCATGTGTCCTGAGCAACCGCAGTGAGCCAAGAATGACAGCCTTCTGCATCTGTGCGGCTAAGATTTCTTATTTAGTGCTGCAAGCCGGTATGATTTTAAGATTCGAGAGTAGAGAAGACATCATTTCATCAAGGACTCTAATAATTAATCAGAACAACCCTCTTGACAGAGTGATCTGGATAGAGTCTGCGAAGTTAGAAGAGAAAATCTCGATATTTCATCCGTTTTTCCTCCTCTGTTCGGACGATATTCGTCTCGCCAAGAGCTGAAAACTCCACAACAAATATCGTCTTGCTCTGGTGGTCGAGAAGGACTATATCAGGGTTATTAGCTTGTATGAGCCTGAGGGTGGGGAACGAGTAGTTCCAATAATTTCGGCACTTCTCGTTCCCCACAACGGATTCAATATCCCCCGGAGCGTAGGGTAACATCGCTGTCTTGTCAATACCGTAATATTTGTTGTTTTTTCGAAATTGATAGTGAGTTTATTGCAGAACCATTTTTCAATCACAATAAAATCCTTTTCTGCAGAAGCTTTTAGTTGGTTCCATGAATAGTCGGTATACAAGACAACCGTATCGTCAGCGAAGCTCAAGATTGTACCTTTTGTTGGTATCTGTAGCTGTAGCAGCTCATTTTGATATACAGGGTGTAACTAAATAAGTGTAAAACTTTTGAGGAGGTTGTGACGTACTTACTTGAAAAACGAAATTTCTGCGTCACAACCAAGGCGTGAATTCGAATTCTTGAGATCTGATTGAAAATTCAAGATGTTCTTTAGTAAGCTGAGAGGGCGCCAGCCAATAAATATAATTGAATAAATTGACGAGGAATGGGGATTCAAACAAAATAAATGAAGATATATGAATATATATA